TGTAAAATAATGATTTTTTAAAATATTTATAAACTTTTTTCTTTAGTTTCTATATCTCTTAAAAGATATAAAATTACCATTTTTCATTACTATTATATAACATTTATTTGATTTATACTTAATTATATTTTAATAAAAATTAATTATATGATCATCTCAAATGATACTTATTAATATAATATTATGTTAATATGTGATATCTATTATTATTATTATTATTATTATTATTATTATGGGCCAGATATACATGTTCTCCATTATTAGTGATTTGTATTTTTTTCCGTTAAATTAGAAATCTACTTAAAATTCAATGTTGTCTAATTTACAAATAATAACAAGATACTCGTGAGATATTTAAATAATGATATGTGAACCACAATCTTAAATAGTACAGTTTTAACTTTCAGTATACGCAAAATAATTAATGAAAATATTTTAACGGAGATTTTTTTTTAATTTTTTTTACACCTATATTAATGGAGGTTTAAAACATTCAAATTTGCAATATTAATGTTACTTTCAATTAAATGAAAAAATTTACCACATTAAATTTTAAAAATAAAAAATTAAACCAAATAGTGAACTATAGGAGGATGTAACTCAAATGGTAGGAGGCTCGTTTTGCATGGGTGAGGTACAGCTTCGATCCCCTGCATCTATCCAATTCTCTTTTATTAAAAAAACAATTAACATAAATAGATAAGAAGATTAAGAAACTAATTTAATTAGTTGAAATTAAATAAATAATTATCGTTTCATATATATATATATTATATTTTTATTTAATAAAAATGTTTAAAATTATTAACATTTGATAGATGAATTCATATTGCATTTGATTTTCTGAATAAAATTATACTTTCACTGCTTTATTATATATTCTTTTTATTAATTTAAGAACTTAGTATATTATCTATATTTTTTAACTAAAAACAAATCCTAATAATTCAAACTTACTCTAATGTATAGTTTGCTCGGGTAGATTTAAGTTTTAAAATTAGATTTAATGTATTATATTTAATATATAAACTATATTTAAAATTAATATACATAAATATCAAGGTATAGCGCCACTGACTTGATTGCGTCCAAGATTACACAGGTCATATCCGAAGTGACCAAGACAAAGAGCTCACAAGTAATCAATGAGACAAATGGTCAGTAAGCTATTAAAACATCACCACAACACATATTCACATAATGGAATATTTCATCTTTTAAGAACATCATTTATCTTCTTGTTCTAAGTCCACAACAAAACACAACACAACTACATGCATTAATCATTTAAAATACAACTTCATACAACAACATGTCATTTGCATAATTCAGTACAACACTACTCAACAACATGTTATCCATATATTCACAACACCACACACAACAATATACAACTTATACACATTCAACACACCCATGTCTACTAAGCTTTGCTCACGCCTAGTGTCCATGCTCGATGTCACCTTCCTATGCCCAATGTCAATTAGGTAGAAATCCCCTGGCTCTTCCATGCTTGACATCAATCCATTTGTACTCAATGAAAATGAGACAACGGTATGTAAACCACGCCTGACACTTCTATGCCTGCACTCAATATCATTTAGGCAATTAAAAGGGAAATGCTCCGGTGCCCTCTTATTTGAAGGGGTTTTGGTGCCCCTCAGTACAAAAGTTGAGTTTTTAGGGGCAATAAGGTAAATTGATAAATTGATCAATTTACCTTATTTCCCCTAAAAACCCAACTTTTTGGCTTATTTTCATCAAAACCCCTTCAAATAAGAGGGCACCGGAGCAATAGCCCAATTAAAAGCCTTTACTTGACCTTTGTCAACACTACACATCTCGTGCTTGGCTTCATCAAAGTATAGAACCACTAACTTGATCGCGTCCAAGGTTACACAGGTCGTGTCCGAAGTGACCAAGTAAAAGAGCTCACAAGGTAATCAATAAAATAAAAGGTTAGTGAGCTATTATAGTTGATATTTGAGTTCTTGTAAGATCATGTATTTTTCTTAATTATGTATAGTTATAATATGCATAATTAAGAGAATTCCTTCTGTGTTGAGAGTCGTTGATAGGTTCAACATGATCCCTATCGGGTCGTTGATCTGCGTTCTTGGACGGGAAAGACCCTCATGATACTTCCTTCGGTGGGGACATTTTTTCAGTTTCAAGCGATTACGTAGAGCGACTAGAATCGAAGCAAGAGAATTCGGTGGTGTACGTGTCGTTTGGAAGCCACTGGGAGTTATCTAAATGACAAATGGAGGAAATTGCAGTTGCATTGTTGAATTGTGAACGTCCATTCTTGTGGGTGATTAGGAAAAAAGTAGTGGATGGAAATAAAGAGGAAGAGGAGTTAAGTTATACATCACTTATTCATTTCATAGTATTTATTGTTCTAATTCAAACATTTAGTTGAGCGTTGGAATGTCATTCCCTGTTTCAATGATGGAAGACCGAATCTATCCCACAAAAGAAAATATTGAAAACGTGAAGATCTTACATTTCTATTTGAAATACTTATAATATATATAAATAAAAAATAAAAAATATAAAACAATAATCAATAAAATATAATATTAAATAAATTTAAACTAAAAGTTCATAATTAAAATTTTATAATAGATTAATAGAATTAAAATTTATAATTATATGTTATGTTTTATTTAGTTTTTGAATTTACTATTTGTACTGCATTTCGCACCCGGGCTGAAAGCCCGGGTTGACATTATAAGGGTCATCCCGGGCACGCGTTGAACAACGTCAGCCCGGAATCCGGACAGATCACGCCCGAGCCCAGAGATCTCGTCCCAGGCTAAAACCGTTCTCCAATTATACCATATTATGTCACAACGTGATCATATCATATTATATGATATCGTATCATATCATATCTTATCTCAGGCCCAAGACAACCCTAACTCACACAAAGGTATGTGCATTATATATACGAGACTCATACTCATACAAACCCTAACTTTAGCATCGGAGTCTCTTTTGCAGGTACCTCCCCCATCTCGGAGCACCAATACACCCAGCGAAGGAGGCTCACCAATCTTACCCGGCGGATCAGCTCTACAGCAGATTTCCGGTAAGAATATTTGGCGCCCACCGTGGGGCCGATCAGACCAAGCTCTCATCGGCCACCTGCATGGTTTCTACCAGAAGCCATATTAGACGAGCAACAGATAACACAAGCAACTCAACTACCATGGACAGCGATACCGCGACCCTGAGGCGTTTGGTCGAACAAGTCGAGCAGATGCGGCGACAGCACGACGCCGACCTCCAGAATATGCGTGCCCAGCATGAGAATGACCTCGCGGCGATGCGCACCGCTAACGAAGCAGACCTAGCGGCGCTACGCGCCGAGAACGAGCGCATCCGCGCCCAGCTCCCTCGGCATCGCCCCGGCCAGCCACCGCACGACAGCGGTGATCATGAGGAGGAGGCGCATTCAGCCCCCCATTCCCAAGCAACCACCAGGGCACCACATTCACAGCCCGCCACGCACCGGTCTCATGCATCAACACACAGATCAGGGCAGGGCACCAGCAAGGCCCCCACTCACGTCTCCGAGGGCCAAGAGCCTTTCCGCCGTCATCCCTTTGTGAACGGCATCATGGAGACTTCGTTACCCCGCGGGTGGAAGCCCCTCCACCTCGACCGCTACGACGACACTACGGACCCCGATGAGCACGTCGACGCGTACACGACTCAGGTAAACCTTTACACTAATAGTGACGCTATACTGTGCAGGGTCTTCCCGACCTCGCTTAAAGGACCCGCGCTCCATTGGTACACCCAACTGCCGGCAGGGTCCATTGACAGTTTCGCCACCTTGGTGCGACGGTTCACGGCACAGTACGCCACTAGCCTACCTCACCACACAACCTCGGCCGCCTTGGCCAACCTTAGACAGAATGACAACGAGCCCCTACGGTCCTTCATGGAGTGCTTCTCTAACATATCAGTCCGGATCCGAAATCTAAACCCGGAAGTCGCCCTACACGCCATGCTCATGGCACTGAAACCCGAATCGTTCGTCGATAGCCTATGTCGCGACGCCCCTCGCGATATGGACGAACTGCGCGCCCGCGCCGCCGGCTACATTCAAATGGAGGAGCACGCGGCCTTCCGCGACCAAGTTCGCGGTAAGGGCCCCGCAAAACCAGAACAGGGCCACAAAGACAAGGTTAAAGTCAACAACGACAGCCAATTCAAGAAGACAGCCAGGACAAACAGAGCCGGGAGGTACGACTTCTACACCCCTCTGAACGCCCCAAGAGTCCACATTTTGGAGGAAGCCAGTAACAGCAACCTGCTAGACCTCCCACCACCCGGCCACACACCAAACAGTGCTGACAAGTCCAAACACTGTCGGTATCACAGAAACTATGGCCATACCACAGACGAGTGCCGCACACTCCGGGACCGCATCGAGGAACTCATCCAGGCAGGACACCTCGGCCACTACATTCAGCGACAGCCAGGCTCCCG